GTCTTTTTTTTAACCATTCATTAATCTCTTTAAAAATGTATGTTTTTCCTCCCTCAGTCCCCTCACCTTTTTTTTTTTTTTATGTTTTCTTTCTTAATGTTTGAAAAAGAGCTCGCCTGTAGGAAAAACATTCTTGTAGAGGACGAAGGAGTTTTAATCGACAATAACGAAGTGAAAACAAATATAAGTGTTATTAATACTTACTATATATATATATATGATATACTATATGATATATATATGATATACTATATGATATATATATATATATAGATATACTATATGATATATATAGTAATTTTGCATATTAAAATTTATATGGTTTTCATCTCCATAATTTATACTGAGCTCTTCTGCTTTTTTTTTGCAGGTTGTTCGGCGGTCGAAAAATATATACATATTAGTATATTATATTTATTATTTATTGACGGCGCCAATGGCCGCAGATGCGAGGGTTCCAGCTTTCTCCACGTGCCTTTTTTTCCCTGTACGACAGTGTCGGTTTTGTCGTTTTCTGATGGTCGTTGCTGGCTGAGGGTAAGGCTGCAGGTGCTATGGTGGTGGCAGCTATGGCGGCTGGTATAGAGTGAGCTGTCGGGTCGTTTTTGTCGTTTTCTGTTCGTAGTTGCCGGCTGAGGGTAAGCCAGCGGTCAACAGCCAGAGGGGCCAGCTATGGCTATGGTGGCGGTAGCTATGGCTGCAGCTGCTATGGTGGTGGCAGCTATGGTGGCTGGTATAGAGTGAGCTGTGGGGTCATTTTTGTCGTTTCTGATGGTAGTTGCTGGCTGAGGGCAAGCCAGCAGTCTACAGCCAGAGGAGGTATGGCTATGGTGGTAGCTATGGCGCCAGGTGCTATGGTGGTGGCAGCAATGGTGGGTGGCAGGCGTAGAGCGACGGGTCACACCGGCATAGCTTTCCCGATTTGGAAAGGAACTTGTTGCTTTTGATGGTGAGAGAGAGTGATCACACCGGCAGCTATGGCGGAGGACAGACCGAGGAGGTGACGCAAGCTCTTTTCCAAATCGGGAAAGCGCCGTTGATGGAAGACAGAAAAGGAAAGGAGGGAAGATCTGGACGAAGCAGAAGACTCTGAGGAGGAAGAAAGATGTTCACCTTCTTTCCATATTAGGAAAGAAGACCGTAGTAGTGTAGGAATTGAATCGCGACGAAGAAGCGACGGCCGCACGCGGAGAAGGGATTTTGGCAATTTCCGTGTTAGGAAAAAATTGGAGCGAACGAACGGAAGAAAAACTTTCGTTTTTCGCGCGCGCGCGCGCGCGCGCGTTCGCCCGCAATTGGGCGGACGACAAGCGAGGAAAGAGCCTCGCTTTGCCGATTTGGAAACGACAAAGAGAAGACGGCGTAGACGGGCGATTGATCTCTACTAGACGCTATACGAGAGCAGCAGCAGCAGCAGCAGAGGTCGCCCCGCCACGATGGGCCAGAAGCTCTCGGCGGAAGAGGTGGCCGCTCAGGCCGGCGCGGGCCAACATACGGTCGGGATGTTTGATTGGCAGGCGATGGGGTTAGACGAGAACACGATGTGCGATCCCGACCTGTGGCAGAAATTCGAGGTCAACGGTCAACGCGTCTTTGTTGAGGGAGAGAATGGAGCGGCCGGCGGCAGCTCACGGAAGGAGATGGTGATGCCACGGGGTCGGAGGGAAGATGACCCTCGTCTTGCTAGCTGTCAAACCAGAGGAGCCGCAGCAGCAGCAGCAGCAGCGGGAGCAGCAGGAGGGGGAGGAGGAGGAGGAGGAGGAGGTGTTGCTCGTCAGCTGTCCATCGGTAAGGTCTCGAGAGAAGAGACCATGAGCCTGAACGATGGGATGTGTTTTCCCCTGTCGCCGCGAGTCCAACCACCCCCCACCGAGGGGTTTAATAGGACCCTTCTTGAGAGGGACTGTGACAGAGACCCTTCTTGGGACGAAGCCATGGGAGAGGAAGAGATATTAGAGGCCAAGGAGTGGGTGACCTCTCCCACCAGTGGGAACACAAAGGTTCTGATGAAACGACTAAGTGTTAAGAAGGACGGGACAGTGAGGGAGAGCATCGTAGGAGAAGTCAGAGAAGGTGTTCTGCACAGATACGCCTCGGCCGACATCAAACACGTTAATAATGAAGGTATGAAATACTTTTCCTTAAAAGACCGTTTTTGTTTTTTTTAATTCCTTCTCTCTCTCTGTCTCTTTTTTTTTTTTTTCTTTTTTTTTTTTAATTCACTTTTTTTTCTTTAATTCCTTCTCTCTCTTTTTTTTTTTGAAATAAAAAGGCCGACGGCGTTGAGATATCATCATTTTTTAAATTTTATTTTTTTATCATCATTGAACTGACTGGGCCCAGGTCATTCAGAGTGATAATTTTTTTTGAATTTTTAAAATTTTTAATTTTTTTTAGTCCGATCATCTCATTGTATCTGGCTTCGAACTTGGGTCTGCATTTCTTTTCTTTTCTCTTCTTCTTCTTTTTTTTTTTTTTTTTTTAAACCAACCAGAGAAACAGTTCGTTGGCTTACCAACTCAGCTAGGTAGGCCCCGTTGATGTTTTGTTATTATAATAATTATTTTTTGTTATTATAATAATTATTATTATTGTTTACAGCAGCAGCTTACAGCCTTCCCCCGAACATATCGTACCCTGATAATGAAAGTATACAAGCCAACTTGCTGGTCTGGTACAGCCATAATGGAGGTGCGATGTGTTCCAAGGAAGATGGTAGCAATACGCAATATAATTTATTTAATTAAATTACGGAATCGATCTTGTCAGCTTCTGATAAGCACAGGCTTCTTGCTTATGAAATGGAATTTGAAAAGTTTGAGCCCAAAAAAAGAAAAAAGAAAAAAAAAAGCACAGGCTATATTCCACACATTCGCATCCCTCACAGGCTATATCTTGACGACTCTTTTTTTTTTTTTTTTTTTTTTTTTTAAAGAGGGCCTAGACGGGGTAGACCCTCTAGTACCCCTGTTCTTGGAGACGGATAAGCTTATCTGATCGATCTTTCGTTTCTCCAGACTTGGGCGAATTTGAGCACTAACCCCCCCTGTGGGGGGGGGAGATAGAGACTGGGGGGAAGGGACCTTCTCTGGATTGTGCATTCAATTTGTGCTGTGCAAAGGAGGTGAGGATATTGACTCCTGCGGGCGTGGTCCCACTAGCAAAGAGGATCGGATCGAATGTCTGAATCTGGACGAGGCTATGTAGATGTGCAGGGAATCGAGATTGAACTGCTTTTCTGCATCTCTGCGTAAAACACATCCAGATTCAGGAGCTCGATCCTATGCGTTTTGCTAGTGGGACCTCGGCACTGGGGGCAAGGCCAAGGGCAAAGTAACAAGCACACAAACATACACGCGTGAGTTCATAGTCAATCGTAGAAGATGACGACAGCAGAAAAAGACCCGCGTTGCGGGATGTCCACTAGGAACTGAAGTATTTACATCATAGTAGTCCCACCCCGTCGCCTCCACCTCTCCTTCCCACATCCCCATGAACCGCCGTTGGATTGGATCTGCAAGCAAAACAGTTCATGGGCTGAATCCACCAACTAAGGCAAAACGCTCAGCTGATGGAGTCGGCGGAAAAGCGAGTCCGCTGTGAGGGCGCCAGGGCGTCGGGAGTCGTGGGTTGGAAAGCCTCTCTTTTTTTTTTTTTTTTTTTTTTTTTTTTTTTTAAGAAACACCCCCACCAGTGTTAGTGCTGCTGATAAGAGCAGACACACCACTAAGTTAAACACCTATTGGTGGGGAGCGTCTGATTTGCTTATTTTTCTTCTCAAGTGCAATTATAGCCTTGATATGTCATCAGTGAATGGATCAGCCGCAGCAGGTAATTCAAAAATCAATTAAAAAGAAAAGTAAAAAATTAAATGAACTTATTTTGCTCATATGGTTTTGCATCTGGATTCGAACTTGGGTCTGCGTTTTTTTTTTAATTTTTTTTTTTTTTTTTTTTTTAACTGCTTTTCTTTATTATAACCGGAAAACGGGCCCGGCGTCCCTCACATGGACACTGCAGCCACCTGAGGCTGAGAAAGGCAATTCCGGCCAACTCATCCCCAACTACAGTCATCCAGCTACCGAGACCCCAGCCCTCCCAGTACTACCAATTCCACTTGGGTCTGCATTTTCAACAGTTCATGGGCGTAGAAACTGAGCTGAGCCCGTTGGTTTCACGACTCTTTTGGTATAATGGGACTTGTCATGGGACTAATTGGGCAGTTCCAGAGCGATTCTGACTTTGGAAGGGACTTTTTTTTTTTTTTTTTTTTTTTTTACTGCGGATGGGAGTAATTGGGTGGTTTTGGAGAGACTCTGACTTTTTCTTACTTCATCACCACCCGCCTGGTTTATCTTTTCTTTTCTTTCTTTCTTTCTTTCTTTCTTTCTTTCTTTCTTTTCTTCTCTTTTCTTTTCTTTTTTTTTTTTTTCTTTTTTTTTTTTAACCCCGACTACCGTCTTTGTCCAGACGCATGCAGGGATTCAAACCACCTAGAAACGGAGTGATTGCTGTTGTTCTTAATGATCTCCTGGGCTGCTGGGGGTGATGGCATGAGCAGTGGCCGCTAGCAGCCATGTGGGGTGGGGGTGGCTCCACAGTCTATTGGGGGAGAGCATCACCTGCCGGAAAGCAGCGGGTTCAGCATCCCTCTTTTTTTTATTATTATTATTTTTTTTTTGGAAAAAAGCTCCATCTATTGGTGGGGAGCAGCATCCCTCAGAGAATACGGTATGGCATCCTTGTACTTCTGCACCGCCGATTCGCCGATGGTTTCGTCGGTAATCGTACACCTACTATAGACTGTCAGCTATATCTGTAAGCCGGATGAAATCGCTAAAATTAATAATTAATAATTATTGATTTAGGAGGACCACAGTGACTTCTTTATGTAGTAAGAAGAGCTTGTAATTTCATTAAGTATGGAATTCCTTAAAATTGTTTCCTTTACAGGAAAGAGCGACGACGGTTACTGCGTTCTGGATAGATGCACTTTCCTCAAAGGGAAACTAACTAATATAGGATTACTGTTAATATTCTATGTACCTATTCTAAGAGGATTTACCGACGGCCGGACAGGCCTGGCTCAGTTGGTAAACCCATGAACTGTTGAAACATAGACCCAAGTTCGAATCCAGATGCAGTCAGATATTAAACAGAATAACATAATAATTCAGAAAAAAAAGAGGAGGATTGAACGGGTGGCTCCTACAAGCATAGTGGCTCGTAGTCGCATAGAACAGACTCTGCCTGAACCGGAAAGGGCCTCGGAGTCCTAAATTTCTGTGTATGCGTCTAGGATTGCGGGTGCACGGGGCCTCCTAAATTTCTGTGTATTGTTTGTTGCCCCCACCTGTAGCAGTGGATGTGTGTAGGGACAGTGGAAGGCCAGCTACTTGCTGTTTGTGTATCATGCGCAAAAGAGATGCAGGTGGACATGAAGGACACTTGCTTTTGCTTTCTTTGGTTCAACTGCCCCACACACGCCCTGCCAGGAATGAAGACTTGCTTTTCCTTGCTTGCTCACTTCTTGCTGTCCTTCTCCTCTCTTTTTGTTTTTTCGTATAATTGCAGCAGCTGGCAACGCCAGTGGTGAACAAGCCCAGTTGAGTGTGGTCAATGGGTTCATGGAGCATTTGAAGGTGATCTCTCTCTCTCTCTCTCTCTCTCTCTCTCTCTCTCTCTCTCTCTCTCTCTCTCTCTCTCTCTNTCTCTCTCTCTCTCTCTCTCTCTCTCTCTCTCTCTCTCTCTCTCTCTCTCTCTCTCTCTCTCTCTCTCTCTCTCTCTTTGTGTGTGTATGTGTGTACATCTGTGGTTATGCAGGTGACAGTGTGTGTGTGTGTGTGTGATCTTCAGAAGTTCTCAGATAAGTTAACTCCGTGTTCGTGTGTGTGTGTGTGTGTGTACCCCTGTGTTTGTATGTGCACGTGTGTGTGCATGTGTGTGTGCATGTGTGTGTGCATGTGTGTGTGCATGTGTGTGTGCATGTGTGTGTGTGTGTGCATGTGTGTGTCTGTGTGGGTGCGTGAGTTCATGCGTCGGTGTGTGCGAGGGTGCGTGTCTGTGCATCTGCGTGTGCGTGCGTCTGCATGTGCGTGTGTGTGTGTGTGTGTGTTTGTGTGTGTGTGTGTGTGTGTGTGTGTGTGTGTGTTCTCTCCAGTTCTTAAATAAGTTAAATTTGGCAAGTTAGATTTTTGGCAAACGAAGTGAGAATCATGCAGCTGTGGAGAAGAAAGAAAGAAAACTGGCGGAGGTGTAAGGTTTAGGGATTGGGCCGTGCAATTCATGTCTCGAGTTTCAATACTCATTGTCTTATCAGGGTCTTAGGATCCCCTGTTTTTTTTTTTTGGCAAAGAACGGTGAAAATTGTGTTGTGGTGAATATTCCGAAGAAACAAAGAAACGTAGTTGCCGTTTAGGGTTTAGGGTTCAGGGATTGGGTTTTAGGATTAAAGTTTGAAGGGTCAAGTCTAATGGGGGTTTAACGATTCTGCTTCTTTTTTTTTCTTTTTTTTTTTTCTTTTTCTTTTTTTTTTGGTCAAGGGGCTTATTAGGGTTTAGGATCCTGCATAGCACGGCGAATGTGTTTGTGCCCCTCCATGTTCGTGCGTTCGCACGAACAGCTTGCGAACATGTTTGGGCAAACATTTTTATTTTTTCGTAAAAAAATAAAATAAAAATATTTTTTGTTTTCGGATTTTGATGTTTAACTCATGATTGGCTAAGAATTTAAACACGACTCCAAGGCAAAAGTTTTCTTGTATTGTTATTTAACTTATTTTACATAACATATATTTTTTTTTCCGATTTTTCTGAGAGCTTTTGTTTCCTTTCTTTTCATTTTTTATGTTCGCGTTCGGAGGGTTTTGGGCAAAGCGTTCGCGTTCGGGCGAACATGTGCGTTCGCCGCCGAATGCGAACACGGTACTTAATTGTGCCCGAGATAGCTCACAGATATTAGGCTGTGGTCGCGTTCTGACTATTCTTTTCTTTTGATGAATCTGACCCAAAATACGTCTCGATTCGATCGCGAAAGCCCAAGTGGTAATATGGACTCAGTTTGCCTGTGTTTGGTGGTCTTTCCCTGTAATTTATAATTATGCAATAGGTTCTTTCTCCCTTATTAGATGTGGTTTGTTCCTCTTCTATTCGTCAATATACGTCAGGCTGAGCTTGCTAGCCTGAGGCTTCAATCTCTTGGTTTGTGAGCTTTACCTGGCAGTGCTGCAAACTGAGCCCAGCATCCCCTCTAGGGAAAGAAATCAAAATAAAAAATCCCAAACAAAGGAACATAGGTTAAGAATAGGACATGGGATCAAATTCCGGCCGGTGATCGCAAACGATGCAAACTCAACCGAGTTTGAGAATAGTACATGCTTCGAGCCAACCAACCTCTTCAGCCTTTGCATCAAGTCGTCAGATAAAGCCAGAGAGCCTCAATTTCCTTCCTCTTTGTGGCTTTTATAAGTAAATAAATAAATAAATAAATAAATAAACAAACTAGGCTACCAGCCGGGCCGCCTGGGTCACCCTTTTTTCCCTGATGGCCCGGCCCTGCAAGGACCAGGGAAGGTCCCAGCAAAACACAAAAACAAAACAAAAAAAAAAAAACCCTCCGAAAACAAACTATGTTATGCAGAAAAATAAGCTGAACAAATTTTGCCTCAGGGTCACATCGAAATTCTGTGTCAAATTTAAAATAGATTTTTTTTTGTACTTTTTATTTGTTTGTGGCCCAGCCGGGCAAGTGGTCCCGGGCCACTCTGCTAGCCTAGTAAATATATAAATAAATAAATGAATAAATAAATAAATAAATAAATGCATGTGTAGAGATCTGTATCTCCTCCCGATGTACAAAGGTCCCACCTCACCTTAGGCTTATGCCCCTGAACATAGCTCCCTATATCATAGCCTGTTTTTTTTGCCCCCTATATATCATAGCCTATTATTAAGATTGTATTAATTTTGGCCAGGACAGAGCCTCCAGTGATTCATGCTGATAGCGAGTTCTGTTCGGACCCTTCGGGGAATGAAGTACGAGTATGACGCTGACTTTGACATTTTCTCTCTTGGTTGTGGGGTTCCTTAGCTTGACAATGTTCGTTTTTTTTTTAAGGAGGTACTACCGTCTTCACCCGAATAGAACGCCCGGCGGTCATTATCACTGCATCTAGGCTTAAATTTCGATCAAATACAGCTATAATGACCAGGCGTTCTATTCGGGTGAAGACGGTAGTACCTCCTTTAAAAAAAACGAACATTGTAACGTTATTATTGTATCCATCTGCGTCCAGCAGGATTTGACCACATGACCTATTTACTAACAGTGAGTCAGTGGCGTGATCGTTCCACTCAGCCAGTTGGGCTGGGTAGCTGAGTCTCCAACTGATTTGCGCGGTGTTTGCTTGTCCTGAACAGCAGCCAGAGACCGGAGTCACCCAAGCCGCGACAGCCTTGGCTTGCGCCCGGTTGTCGGTGGACGACACACAACATATGATGATGGACTGCACCGAGAGCGGACGTTCTCCACGGCCTCTTGCGAAGCGGAAGAGGGAAAAGCCCAAGGAAACAGGTCTGCTGAGGGCTGTAGAGGAAGATGCAGAGGGGAGCAGGACGGAGGTGGTCGTGGCTACAAAGCGAGCCAGCCAGCATGACTGGCACTCTTTGTCATCTCAACTAGCCGAGGAGGAGGAGATTTCCTCGGATGCATGGGAGCGGTATAGAAAAAGGGTGCAAAGGCCGACGCACGAAGAGGTGCAACTACCTGACCAGCAACAGCAGTCGACGACATCTTCTGACGTTGGCGTCATTAACGATGAGCAGATGAGCATTGCCATGATGGAGGACCTAAGGCCCGCAGGCATCGGTTGCCTTCTGGAAACGGGGGTTCTGAGCATGGAGGACGGAAACGACGATGGACAATCAGGGACCGAACAGGTTCAGGCCGCGGATTCGGCGACGCACAAGTCATCAGAGGACGAGGACGAACCGCGGCCATTGCTCGAGGACGAAGCCATGGTTGCCGAGGTGGTAGGCGATCTGGCCGCCGTAAGGTCTATTTCGATGCCGGGGGGGGAGACGGAGGACATCTCTCAACGCAATGGAGGAGGTGTCTCTTCAGCGGAAAAGGAGGATCATAGCTTTGGCATCAGTCAGAGAATCATCACCTGCTCTGGAGAAGATTCGTCGGTGGACGATCTTCTGGCCATAGCCATGCCTGCTGAACTGCAGCAGCCAGTCTCTGAATCGACGGTCGAGCAACTTGACGTTGAGACGGTGGCCGCTGATCCATCTCATGCTCCCATCAACGCTCAGGAATCCGATCAGGAATTCCTGAGTGGGCATGATGCTGCTTCCAGTGGGGTACTAACTGAAAATCCACTTGGGGCACCAGAGATGCAGGTAATCCCTGCCCTCCCACAAGGAGAGGAGACAGAGATTGTAACGAGGGCTAATGAAGAGGAGGAAGAATCTGACGTGCAGTGCGAGCCATTCTCAAACCTGTTGGAGAAGAAAGAAGATGAGAAATTGCTTCCTCCCATTCTTTCTACCGATCTAGATTTGTCGGCGAGAGAAGTGGATTTTGAGTTTGTGGCCAGGCATGCTCCAGTCGATGAAGTCGAGAGAAACATGGCAGCAGATTTTGCGCTACAGACTGTGGAAGTGGCAAAACGTGCCGAAGCAGGCAAGGAGGAGAAGCTGCAGGATGAGGCGCATACTGCAGAAGAAGAGACAGCAAAATTGATCGACGAGAACCTGCCACTGGTAGTCGATGAGACCGAGGCCGTCGAAACGGGAATGGTAGTCTCCACAGAGCAAGAGCTTGTGCATGTGGAAGCAGCACAGCGTGTTGTGGATGATGCCCCTCCCATGATCGAGAGGTCGGCTTTGGAAGTGGATGTTAATGTCAGCGATTCTCACAACCATGTCCTAGATACGGCAGAGACAACAGTCCCTGCAGGTGAGCTTGAACACGAGATCCCATCTGCATCCGCAGAGGATGAGCCCCGGGTGCATGAGGAGAATGTTATGGCGGAGGAAGCCCCCGTGAAGGAAGACAACGAGGAGGCCGACTTGCCTGTGAAGGAGGAGGATCAGGTTGAGTCAAAATGCACAGCGTATGAAGCGGAGCCGTCGCCAGCGATGGAAGAGGAAGAACTGGAAGAGGATGATAAGGAGACAGCGCAGGAGGACGAGGGGGACGGTTCTGGAAAGGAAGAGGATGAGGTGCTGGTGGAAGACAAGGATCGGATCGCATCGAAGAGTGTGATGTGTGATGCGGGCACACTGCTGATGACTGAAGAGCAAGAAAAGGAGGGGAAGGAAGTCCTTGAGGAGAAAATGGTTGAGAGGGAAGAGGAGGTGGTGACAGAGGAGGAAGAAGGAGAGGTGGAGATCAAAGAGACTCAGAAGGACGAGGAGGGGGTGATGGTTGAAGACGAGGATCAGACCACATCGAAGGGTGTGATGTGTGATGCAAGCACACTGTTGCTGGCAGGGGAGGAGGAAAAGGATGAGAAGGAGGCAAAAGAGGAGAAGGTAGAGGCGAGGGAAGAGGACGTCATGATGGAGGAGGCTCAGAAGGACGAGGAGGCGGTGATGGTGGAAGACGAGGATCAGACCACATCGAAGGGACCTGGTGTGATGTGTGATGCAGGCACACTGTTGCTCACAGAGAAGCAGGACAAGGATGTACAGGAGGCGGAAGAGGACAAAGGCAAGAAGAGTGAAGAGGAGGTGGTAATGCAAAGGACTGACACCTTTACTATCCTGAACTTGTCTGAGGGAGAAGAGGCAGCTTCAGTTGTCGCTCAAGAGGCAGCGTCAGTTGTCGCTCAAGAGGCAGCACCAGTTGTCGCTCAAGAGGCAGCGTCAGTTCCGGCTGTCGACTTCAGTGAGAACCATCAGACTGAGGATGTCATTCTCCCTGTAAATGTGGACGATAAAGAGCGGGAGGCAAACGATGTTGCCCACGGATCGCTCGGCATTGAGTTGTCGTTATTTGGCGTTTCTGTGTTAGACTTTGAGATGGACGAGGATGACTCTGATGAGATGATCGAACTCTCAAAGATGCTGGTTCAGGAGGAGGAGGAGGAGGAGGAGGAAGAAGAAGAAGAAGAAGAAGAAGAAGAAGAAGAAGAAGAAGAAGAAGAAGAAGAAGAAGAAGAAGAGGAAGGAGAGTCGGATGATGGGAACTTGGCTGCGTCTGGTGAAAAGGAAACTTTTGACATGGAGCCAATGCCAGAAGAACCCAATCCCAACCATCTCCCATCAGAAACTGAGGGAAATGAAACAGTCGCACGGATACTCCGTGACGCTGAATGCCAGGCTACGCAGACCGATCACGCGGTAAAGGAAGGGCATACAGGGGCATCATGCTCACCCGAGACAGCATCTATCCATGAGAGACCTGAAATGGATGACCAGCTAATGACTGTCTGCCCGCACATAGCTATCAGCTGTCAAAATCATGCCGAGGTTTCACATGTGACGGAGTCAATCATACAGGAGGTGGTTATGGAGGAGGAGGTGGTTATGGAGGAGGAGGTGGTTATGGAGGAGGTTGCACATGCGACGGAGTCAACCACGATACAGGAGCTAATGACTGCATCGCGAGAGGATCTGCAAACAGAAAACCAGTCAGATACTGCGATTGCAGATGAGGTGGAGGTCCAAGCTGCGCCTGCGATGCTCCCTTCAGAATCTGTCTTTGTTGAGCAGAGTGTGGAGCGAGAGAGTCAGGTTATCGCCGGGATGTTGAATACTGAGCACGGATGCGAGAGCATTGTTATGGAGATGGCAAGCGAAGAGCTGTGTGCTACTGCCGGAGGCAGCGTGTCGGAATGCAGTCAAGAGGAGAGACCGATTCCCTCAACCACCCCTGGTCCCGACGTCGGACCGGATTCCCGTGAAGTAACTGTGGCTCGTATTAAATCGGACAATGATCGCACGGAGGAAGATGGAGGCCTCCGGGTCGGTTGCAGCTCTTTTCATCGCAAAAGTGAAAAAAGGGTGGATGAAAATGGTTTGCTTTCCGTGCGGCAGGAAACCGGATCTTGCGCACTCGAGAAGGAAGAAAACGAGACCTATGAACTGGAGAGAACTGAAGATGATGTGGATAGAGTGTGTGGCTCCTCCGTTGAGGAGCAAATGCTACAGTTGGCGGCAGAACAGACACAATTGGCTGATGGGATGACGTGCATCCACGCCGAGGCTGTAATTGTCTCGGCTGACGAGGCGGAAGCTGCAGTAGCACCGGCTTTGCGATCCAGGGAGGAAAATGACTCTGAGGAAGTGCATCTGCTGGGGCAAGCTGTGGCAGCAGACGACACAAAAGACGTCCAGAACGAGGAACCGGTCATACTGGATGACAGGGAAGGGGGGTCAGAACGCAGCTGCTTATCAGTCGAGCACGGACTGGAGGACGAGGAGGAGGGGATGGAAGCAACGAGTGCTGTTCGACTTGTTCATGATGTGAATGAAGGAAAGAAGGGTGAGGATGGTCTCCAGGTTTCCGCCGTGTGTGTGCAGCAAAGGGAGGAGGTGATGTTGTCACACAAGAATGGAACAGACAGTGATACGAAGGAAGTAGGTGATGGTGTCCTTCTCTCATTGCTCGATGTCAACGAAGCCTCAGAAGCTGCTCCTCACCAAGGCTCTCCTCTCGGCAATTCAGAGGCCATGCAAATCGACACCTCGTCTCCTCGGTCCCGCACTTGCCTGAATAGACAGCCACAGGATATGGACATCTGGCCAGGGTGTTCGTACGAGATGATGCAAATGGAGAGTGTTCGAAAACAGCAGATCACCTGTACGGATGAGGCATCATCCGCCCAAGACCCTGGCGAAGTCGTGGAGGCTGAGGACGCTGGCAAGGAGCGCCGACGGTTGCCTTTGCGAATTTCGGTGTCCTCGCCACACAGACAAGGTCTTGCTTGCTGTGAGATTCCTATCGAGTACCTGGTTGACGATGGCGAGGACAGGGTAGCCAAGGACAACAGCAAGGTGGGAAGCTTGGGTATGAGTATGGATGCCGTACCCGTTCTGAGGCATCCGGAGTCGATCGAAGTGCTGGATCATCTGCACGAGGTGGCACGGTCGTGGTCCGAGAGCGGCTTTGCAGGCTTTGATGACCACCGCATGCAGCCAGGGTTGATCATGCAGAACGGGCGCAGAGGCCTGTCCGACATATCGGGGAGCATCGACATCTTTGATGAAGCGGAAATGTTCAGCGAAGCATGGTCAGACAAATGGGAGCAGCGGTGGGGTATCGCTGAGTCGGAGGGACGAAGGGCGCGTACGAAGCCGAGGACAAGCGACCTCTCCGTCGCTCAATTGAGCGGCCGAAGCTCGTCGTCCAGCTTTTGCGCTCCCAGCGAAGACGACTCTGAGCAGGTTATTGCTAGCGGGACTGTTCTCGCCAAAGTACAGGAATTTACGAGGAAAGTCCGAGAGAAGCAACAAGCTGCGAATTCCGGGCATTCACCCTCTGCGTCTTCGACAACGTCTAGCAGCGGCGCGCAGGATTTCCAGTTTTCGGCAGACGGGAGCGAGCATGAAACTGCCGCCCTCTTAAGCTGCGGTGATGCCAGCAGTAAATTGTCCACCTGGAAAGCCAAGTGCAGGGCGAGTGGAACGTCCAAATCTGGCGGGCTGTGTGTTAGCGTGGGAAAGCCTAAGGAGAGCGAGTCGCTTCCCGCAGAGGTGGGTGGTGTTCTTGCGAGACAGACACAGAAAAAACAGGAGTCGAATGTTTTGTCTGCTATCGGTCGGAGCACAGAGGGCGAGAGGCCAGCAGGGCACAGGCGGCAGTTCAGCAGCGGAAGTGGGAAGGGAAAGGAGAATGCCATTCTGAGGGACGGCAATACACAGGCGTGTGCAAGGCCCTGCGCGCCCCTTGAGGCCTGCTCGGGTTCAAAGAATGCCGTCGTCATCTACGGGCTGTTTGATGAAGAAGATGATCCGATGCTGAATCCCCATGATGAAAACAAGCAGCCTGTCGTGAGGACTCCGACTCGAGTGGGAGTCAATGTTCGCAGCCTTGTGAAAGTTTGGGAGAAGGAGACTAAAACAGACGATGCCACCCCACTTCAGACGCCTAAACAGGCCCAGCATCAAACCCCTCACCTGACGCCACGGAAAACACCGAGAACCGTGTCCAGGGGCTTCCAGAGAACTTAAATGTGCAATCTACTGCAGCAACCTTTCTCTGGTGTGAGTGTATCTACAAGTTCATGCAAGTGAATGAACAACTCAGTGAGTTCCAGGACTTTTCTTTTCAGAGTGTGTGTGTGTGTGTGTGTGTGTGTGTGTGTGTGTGTGTGTGTGTGTGTGAGAG